CCAGCCTAAAGCTGCCGCTGCCCTACTCGCGTCTGTCGGGGCCTTCCTACAATTATTAGAAGCGGCTTCAATGGTCTAAGTCGAGCCGCTAGTAGACTGGACTCTACCGCGGAATTCATCTGTTGAAGCCTATTGGTCTGTTATAAAACAGCGTGTGCAGTCGTTGTGCGCTGGTTTCGTACCCCTCAAGTATCGGAAAGTTGGATCAGACATCGGTTCGACAGAGAGTATAGTCAATTGGCTCGACGGCGACGTGGATTGCGAAATAAATTCCTCATGTCTGGATCTGCCGACGATTATGAGACGTACAAAAGGCAGCGGAATCAATGCAACAGCGCGAAAGCGTCGGCAGTTCGAAGAGGAGCTTGAAACCACAGCGAAAACGGCCCCCAAGATTTTTCCTTACGTGGAGCGGCGCCTAAGGTCCGCAAGTGACGTAGCTGTGTTGGATGGCACTGATGGACAGTTTCTGATCACCAGCACTGAACGCGCGTCCGCATTGGCAAAGCACTTCGCTTCCGTATATACAAGTGGGCATGCGCTTATGTCGAGCTTGAGGTGTGCCTTGATTGCAGTGTAGATATCCGCAGTATACTCTCCAGTCTTGATAGCACAAAACGTGCGGGACCCGATGGACTTCACCCGCTAATTTTGAAGTCCTTATCGACCATCATCTCGCCTGCCGTGCCGGATCTGTTCAACAGATCGCTGTCCGAGAGTGCATTGCCGAGCGACTAGAACTGCTCGGTAATGAAGCCGATTCCAAAAGGTGGTGGCCCATGCAATGTGGACACTTATCGGCCGATTTGTCTCACCTCTGTTTTTGCGAAGGTGCTAGAGAAGATTGTTAAAAAGGGTCTGTTCCAGCTGCTGGAGTCGAAAAATTTCATAACGTCGGCACAGCACGGCTTCATGAAGGGCCGCTCGTGCATTACCAACCTGCTGTTGACGCGGCAGGAATGGTTGCAAGCGTTGAATCGGGGGAAGTCAGTGGATATTATCTACATTGATTTCAGTAAAGCTTTTGATAAAGTGAACCATGAGGTCCTGCTCCACAAGCTGAAGATGTGCGGTGTTAGTGACGCACTGCACCATTGGATCAGTGACTTCCTTATTGGGAGTAAATGGCGGGTTCAGGTGGATAACCACCTAACGGAATGGTACCCATCCACTAGCGGCGTACCCCAAGGCACAGTAGTGGGGTCCATTTTATTTCTGATCCACAACAACGAAGTGCCTTAGCTTCTTCGGTCGCCCTGCGTATTATTTGTGGATGGTCGTAGGTTTGGAGGATTATTGATTCTCCCGGCGAGTGTAACGTCCTTCAGCAGGACCTCGACCGCCTATCTCGGTGGTCTGCAGAAGTTGACTTACCGGTCAACACCGCCAAGTCATCGTTTATGAGCCTCGGGAGGGGTGGTAATTGGCATGCGTACACACTGGCCGGCCACTTGCTGCATCCCAACAGTTGCGTAAAGGACCTACGCGTTCTCTCGCGTTGTGAGCTGAAGTCTGTCGAAAACATGAACAAACTGTATGCAAACGGACTACGCCTGCTTTGGGCAATTAGACGCAGCTTCTGCACTTAGTCAAGAGATTGCCACCTGTCTGTTCTATAATAAGACCGGTGCTTGAATACGGCTCACCTGTCTACTGCCCGATCACAATAGATGAGTTGCAGAGACTCGAACGGGTTCAGCATGTAGCTACCCGGCTCATCCCCACTTTACGGGGTATGTCGTACGAGGACCGATGTAGGAGACTAAGGCTTTATACCCTGTCATACCATCGGCTTCGAGTTGATCCGATTATGACGCACCAGATACTGCACCTGGGCCACTTCCTTATGTTGAAGCCGCAGCTACACGTTCGCGCATCAAGCAGCACATGCGGACACCGGTAC